GGGTGGAACAGATATGGGTAGAGTAGAAATGGGATGGGCAGAAGAAAGACATATCCCCCTGATTTTCTTTTAATCTTAAAATTTTTAATTATTCTAAGTACACAATAGTTTATCTTTATGGGGCACATGTTATGTTTTGATACAGTCACAGGATGTGAATTAATCAAATCAGGATAATTGGGATATCCATTACCTCAGGGATTTATCATTTCTTTTTTTTTTTTTTTTTTTTTGAGACAGAGCCTCAAGCTGTCCCCCTGGGTAGAGTGCTGTGGCATCACAGCTCACAGCAACCTCCAACTCCTGGGCTCAAGCAAGTCTCCCGCCTCTGCCTCCCAAGTAGCTGGGACCACAGGTGCCCGCCACAACACCCAGCTATTTTTTGGTTGCAGCTGTCATTGTTATTTGGCAGGCCAGGGCTGGATTCGAACCCACCACCTTAGGTGTATGTGGCTGGCACTTTAGCCACTTGAGCCACAGGTGCCGAGCCGATTTATCATTTCTTTGTGTTAGGAACAATTCAATTCCACTCTTTCTTTTTTTTTTTTTTTTTTTTTGAGACAGAGCCTCAAGCTGTCCCCCTGGGTAGAGTGCCGTGGCATCACAGCTCACAGCAACCTCCAACTCCTGGGCTCAAGCAAGTCTCCCGCCTCTGCCTCCCAAGTAGCTGGGACCACAGGTGCCCGCCACAACACCCAGCTATTTTTTGGTTGCAGCTGTCATTGTTATTTGGCAGGCCAGGGCTGGATTCGAACCCACCACCTTAGGTGTATGTGGCTGGCACTTTAGCCACTTGAGCCACAGGTGCCGAGCCCAATTCCACTCTTTCAATTATTTTAAAGTATATCCCAAGGCTTGGCGTGGTGGCTCGCGTCTATAATCCTAGCACTCTGAGAGGCTGAAGCATGTGGATTGCCTGAGCTCAAGAGTTTGAGACTAGCTTGAACAAGAGTGAGATCCTGTAGCCAGATGTTATGGTGAGCATCTGTAGTCCTAGCTACTTGATAGGCTGAGGCAAGAGAATCTCTTGAGCCCAAAAGTTTGAGGTTGCTATGAGCTATGACGCCATGGTACTCTACCTAGGGTGACAAAGTAAGACTCTGTCTCAAAACAAAAAAATGTATATCCCAACATTGTTGATTATAGTCGCTTCATTGTGCTATCAAATACTGTTCACTCAAAGTATCTAATTGTATTTTTGTACCCATTAACCATCCTTTATCCTCTTTCCCACTACCCTTCATGGCCTCTAGTAACCATTATTCTACTCTCTGTTTCCAGGAGATCAATTATTTATTTATTTATTTATTTATTTATATTTTTTGACACAGAGTCTCACTTTGTCACCCTCAGTAGAGTGCCATAGTGTCATGGCTCACAGCAAACTCAAACTCTTGGGCTCAAGCAATTCTCTCGCCTCAGCCTCCCCTGTAGCTAGGACTACAGGCACCTGTCATAACACCTGGCTATTTTTTAGAAACAGGGTCTCGCTCTAGCTCAGGCTGGTCTAAAACCTGAGCTTAGGGGATGAGCCACCATGCTCCCCCGCTTTTTTGGAAACAGAGTCTTAAGCTGTCGCCCTGGGTAGAGTGCTATAGCGACATCATAGCTCACAGCAATGATGAACTCTTGGGCTCATGTGGTCCTCTTGCCTCAGTTTTTTGTCTTTTTAGTAGAGATGGGGGTCTGGCTCTGGCTCAGGCTGGTCTTGAACTGGTGAGTCCAAGCAATGCACCTGCCTAGGCCTCCCAGAGTGCGAGGATTACAGGCATGAGCCACCATGCCCAGCCAGAGTCAATTGTTTTTAATATTTAATTCCTACATATGAATAAGAACATTTGAGATTTGTCTTTCTGTGCTTATTTCACTGAGCACAATATTCTCTAATTCAATTTACCTTGTTGCAAATGGCAGGATTTCATTCTTTTTGTGGCTATATAATATTCCATTGTGTATATGTGCCACAATTTATTTATTTATTTCTTTTCTCTCTCTCTCTCTTTCTTTTTTTCACAGTGTCTCACTCTATCACCCTGGGTAGAATGCTGCCAAGTCATAGTTCACAGCAACCTCACTCTTAGGCTCAAAAGTGACCCTCTTGCTTCAGCTACCTTAATAGCTGGAATTACAGATGCCTGCCATAATGCCCAGCTAATTATTTTATAGTTGGTAGAGATGGGGTCTCACTCTTGCTCAGGCTGATCTGGAACTCCTGAACTCAAGTAATTCACCAGCCTTGGGGTGAGGTGTGAGCCAACCAGGCAACAATTTCTTTATCAATTCATCCGTTGTTGGACACTTAGGTTGATTCCAAATCTTTGCTATTGCAAATAGTGTTGCAATAAACATGGAAGTGCAAATAACTTTTTTGTTTTGTTTTGTTTTCAGTTTTTGGCTGGGGCGGGGTTTGAACCCACCACCTCCGGTATATGGGGCCAGCTCCCTACTCCTTTGAGCCACAGGTGCCACTCTGTAAATAACTTTTGGATAAATAAGCTGAATTCTCCTCTTTTGGGATTGCTGGGTCATATGGTAGTTCTATTTTTATTTTATTTATTTATTTATTGTTAGAGACAGAGTCTAAATTTGTCACTCTCAATAGAGTGCTGTGACATCACAGCTCACAGTAACCTCCAGTTCTTGGACTTAGGCAATTCTCTTGCCTCAGCCTTCCAAGTAACTGAGACTACAGGTGCCTGTCACAACACCCAGCTATTATGTTGTTGTTGTTGTTGTTGCAGTTTGGCTGGGCTGGGTTTGAACCCACCACCGCACGTGGTAGTTCTATTTTTAGTTTTTTGGGGAACCTCCATACTGTTTTCCATAGATGAACTAATTTACACTGCCAGTAATAGGGTACAAGGGTTCCTCTTGTCCATATCCTTGCCAGCATTTTTTATTACCTGCCTTTTTTTGAGTCTTACTTTGTTACCCTCAGTAGAGTGCCTTGTTATCAGAGCTCACAGCAATCTCAAACTCTTGGGCTCAAGTGATTCTCTTGCCTCAGTCTCTCAAGTAGCTGGACTACAGGC